AGATATATGTACACACACACACACACAGAGAGAATATACATATAATTGAAGCTGTGTCACTATAAAGTGTTTTATAAACGCCCCCTGCTTATTTACGACAGTTCTACAAACACACAGCCGTTGCTCTCTACGGCAGCACGTGTCAGTGTCCAGCAGCAGTCCGGAGGTGAGTTAACGGACAAAATAACACAAATTAACTTGTTTGTGTTGTTTCACGCACTCGAGTCCGAACTTTATCGTCGGTTATGTGATTTAATTCCTTTTATTGTAGTTTGTTCTTCCTCCAGCGTTAGCTGTTAGCTCCCCGGCTAACAGCTAACGCCACTGCTGGCTTAACACAATTCACATGTTAGCTCTTGTTAGCTCCTGGCTAACAGCTAACCCCACTGCTAGCTAGACACAATTCACACGTTAGCTGTTGTCAGCTCCTGGCTAACAGCTAACAGCTAACGACACTGCTAGCCAAACGCAATTTACCTGTTAGCTGCTGCTAGCTCCCCAGCTAACGCCACTGCTAGCTAAATACAATTCACCCTGTTAGCTGTTGTTAGCTTCCCGGCTAACAGCTAACGCCACTGTTGGCCGAACACACCCACGTCAACACCTCGGCGGCTCAAACTCTGTGACTGTGACTCTTGAGCAAATGTCTGAAGGATTTTACAGCTGACCCAGAATCAGCTGCCAAACATTCATCCAACTCACTTTGAACAGGAGATGAAATATAAAGAGCACTGTGCAGAACTTCTACACGTTTTAATTTGATCTTGTTTCTATTCTTTTCTAATCTGCACCTTTTTTTTAAAATTTCTGGATCTGTACTCGATTGCTGTGAACTAATGCACCTTGTACCTGTGTTGTGAAAGGAGAGATATAAATAAAGATTATTATTTATTAAGCATGTTGCATTCTTGTGTGTCCTCTGATCAGTTCAGACTCCGTCCAGAGTCCTACAGACCTGCAGAGTCAAGGAGAGCAGGGAGTCAAACCCCTTAGGCCTTAAAACGTCTGAAATACTCTCACTACTAGCTCTTTATTATGTTACCGCTCATTTGATGCTCCCATAGATGAAGTGTTAAACGTAACCTGCAGAAACCCTCTAACCCACGTGAGTGTCCAGAAGAGAACCGGCGATGTTTCACAGACCACAATCACACATTTGATGAATAAACGGATCATGGTGCGATTCTGAAAGCGTCATCGCTTCGCTCTCAGTGGCTAAAAACTTTGCTCAGTACTCTACATGCAGAAATACGAAGTAAAAATACAACCAGATACATCCATGTATCACAAATAAAGTCCTAGATTAAGGACATGATTCAACTGCTTATAATTTAAAATTACATATTTCCGTAGTTGTCCCAAATCATAAAAGCTTGCATGACACAATTTTTCCTAATGTACTATGAAACAAAGTACTACTTGTGTACAGTTTTTAAGACTCAAATTCTCTACTACCTAAAAAACCTTTGCACAGAGTACTTTACATCCTCCCTCTTCTTTCCAGTTGTTAAACACCTGATTAAAAGTATTTCACACACATGATCTGATCGTCTGTTGTTTTCCCCCATTCAACCAAAATAAAACAACATAAACTGACACAGACACAAAGACACAGACACACAACCTGGAGTCAGTCACCGTGACTTTCTGTTTGCAGACTAACCATCATTCTGTGTTTGACCTGCTCAGGAAATGCGCATTGGGCTGCCCAGTGCAGAGTCACTGCGAGGTGGATCCTTTAAAGCTTTAGCTTTGGTGAGTGTGCAGAGCCGGACTTCTCTAACACACACACGCACTGGACTGTTCTCCAGACACGATCCGGACATGACGGACACAGAATTGAAAACACAGGATGAGAGAGAGATGATGAAGAAGTCTGCGTGAAGACATTTGTGTCGGATGAGCTGTAAACAAGAAAGAATGATTCCTGCAGTGGAATTGATACGTCATGTCCCACTTCCTGTATGTTCTCGCCAGACACAACCCCCCGTCCGACTGCTCTGGACATTTTTCTGATGTAAAAAAAAAAGTCTGACTGATACAATCTTCTGCTATGTTCTTCAGTTGTTAAAGGCAAACTCCGAATAATGTCCAGACCCAAACAGTCCTCGTCTAAAAACGGCTTTGATGGCCTTTTCGTGTTTTGTCTTGTTTTGTCTTGTGGACACATGTTTGACATATTGTTGGACTTCGTCCTCTGTGTCGTCCTCTTACAGACGTCGCTCCTGAGTGTGTTTATGTTCCAGCTGCTGAGGACTGTTGGACTGAGGGCGTTCTCCATGGCGTCTGAGACGTACATGTCAGGCACACACTCTGCAGCTTTTGTCACCTGTCCTAACGACACCGTAGCTAAAGATTTGGCCAGGTAATAAAATGTTTTATCTTGTTTACTAAAGAATAAAGTGATTCCTGATCTTCTTGAGGTGACTGACTGGACAAAATGAAAACGGATTTTCATCTTCAGTCGACAGGATTCTTCGTTCTTGCCGGTTCTTTAAAGCATCTTCATTTGTGGCCGATTCTGTCTTTGTCTCCATCTCACAGGGGGATTGTGGAAAGGAAACTCGCTGCTTGTGTCAACATTGTCCCGGCGATCAAATCGATGTAAGTTATGAGACGGTTGTTTTTAGAGAGTGTTTTTGATGAAAGGATATTGGGACACCATTTGAAATAAATAAATGATTTTGTCCTGTAACATTAGAGCCTAGATTTACTTTGTCTAATTTCTCCAGATACGAATGGCAGGGGAAGATTGAGGAGGACAACGAGGTGCTGCTGGTGAGTGTTGACTAATAACTTTCAATTTTCAAACCCCTTGATTTGTGCACTAGGTGGAGACAGAGTTTGGAATCAGACAGAGGTGCAACATAGTCACTGTGATAGACAAGTGCTCTGCTCTGAATCACTGTGCTTGTTCTGAAAGAAAGAAGAGAGAACTGTATGATGTGAAAAACAAAATTGTGTCTTGTCTGAATAAACAGAAATGAATAAAAGGCAACAGATGTGAATCAGTGGTGAACAAAAAAAGCCTAGATTGAAATTTGTTGCAGAAACCAAATAATTTCCATTTATTCATGTGGAAGATATTCTCAGTATAATAAGAACCGACCGACACTGATATGGAATATTTTAAATTAGCAAAATTAAGATGAGCTCGCTGTAATCCTCCACGTGGAACTCCCTCTACAGTGAGAAGGGAGGAGTGAATGAGACACAACCTTGGTGATAATGGTTTTTCCTTCCACACACACACATACATGTTTCTTTAATGACTCTAGTTACCTCTGCCAAAGAGATTATTTATATCTCGATTTGTTTGTTTGTGTGCAGGATTATGCAAAAGCTGCTGAACCAATGCCGTGATATTTTGTGCAGGGGCAGATCCAGGAATAGGAGACTGATATTTATGTGTGCATGAAAATCCTTCCTCGAGATTCTGGATCTAGTGAAGTGAAACGTAGCTTCAGGAGGACGCGTTCTCCTGAATACTATTCTGAAATATGACTAATACTAGAATGCGATCTTTCATGGCCTGAATGTCGTTTGTAGAAAAAAAAAATGTTTTCATTTGAGTGGCAAAAGTCAAAACAATCAGGGTCCGAGAATTATTATTATTAATATAGTAACACGGCACATGATGAAACATTTTCACGTATCGTCAAACATGATGAAGTCAGTCAAGTTGACCCCGTGTTTCTCTCCTCGTTTAGATGATAAAGACGAGAAGTTCCAAGGTGCCCGCTCTGGCTGAGTACGTCCGGTAAGTCAGCTTTTATAACCTTTNAGAACATTTTCCATATTTGGAATTTCTAACATGGGTTGTCACTTCTTTGATTGTCTCCAGTTGCTGGCTTTTGTGGCTACCTGGGTGGGAAGATGTCGTACATGAGGACGTGCCAGGAGAAGTTCAAGAGGTTGGAGAACTCTCCTCTGGGAGAAGCTCTTAGATCGAAGACAGGGCTGCCTCAACAATAGTGAGTATCACACACTTGTTTGTATTACTGCATGTTTTGATCTGTTGAACTACCCCTTAACCATAATTATGTTCTCACAGTTCCAAGGGTCCCCAGTCAGAGCTGAGTGACCCAGACAACCAGTCATTTGACCCCATGTTCCAGCCAGCAGAATCCCCCAGCAAAATGCCCAGCAACAACAGAGATTATGAGTACGGCTTCAAACCAGAGCAACCCATGCAAATGGGCAAAGCAGACGACCGCAGCGCCTCAGGTACCACACAAAGCCACAGTATGAACTTTTCAAAAACAGCACATTAATGATCGTTGGACTCTTTATTTTTATATTTTGCACAAATCAAACCTTCCAACCATTTTGCTAATCAACATTACGTGTATGTTTCTCTATCCCTGTCCCCATCAGCTTCAGTCCAGTCATATGTTGACGACGAGGAGCCCAGGAGGAAATCGATTCTCTATGAGGACCTGAGGGTCAAAAACAGAGAGAACTACGAGGTGGCACTAACCCAGAAGGCTGAGACGCTGCTTAAAACAACACCTGAGAAGGAGCGAGAAAGACCCAAGACAGAGGGTAAGATGCTGCTGCGTAAATGTGTCAAACACCTGCTGGGTTAGGAAAAGTTGAGGGATTTATATTTAGGTGCATCTGTCGTCTTTAACTTTTTTAACTTTTTTCTCTCTTACCTTTCAGCGAAGAAAAACATCTACGGAGACTCCTGGGAGGAATGAGTCCTTATTTGAGCTGATGTGATTATACGACACCTCCCTCCAGTGAGACTGAGCCTCAGGGGACATGAAGCTGAATGAGTTTGGGATCAGTATGTCTTTGTGAGTGAATCAATTAAACCAAACTGCTTGAAGACTAGAACTGTCTGTCTGTGCTTTTGCATTGAGTTGAATAAAAAAAAAACAATATTGAAGCTACATTTTACAGCTGCATGCACTCAGTATAGTTTTTTAAAGCAAGTGATTTGTGACACTCAGCAAGTGATTGTATGTTGAATTTATTTTGTTTGTCGATAATATAAGCATTGATTCAGGGGAATGTATACCAACTAGATTAGTGGTTGAAAAGCTATAAACCAACAAAATATAAACAATTGACTTTTAAAGGGAAAAATGGATGGAAGCTCTTAAAACTTTAAAGTCAGTGTCTACATGACACAAATAGCTAAAACATTTGTTTGCTGACACCAAGATCGAGTGACACAAATTAGTGTTGACAAAATGTCCAAGAAAAACCACTGAAATATAGCAAAAACATTGC